CCCTAAACCCTAAACCCTAAACCCTAAACCCTAAACCCTAAACCGAACCATGACCGTCTCCCCCACGAGAGATGTGAAGTTGCGGCGATTGATGGGAAGAAGAAGGGTATAACTTATAAGTGGGGGAAGATATTAGGGTTTCAGAAAAGGCTTATTGGGCTAAGGAAATAGCCTGATTTTTATGTTAAATGGGCTGAGAGTAACTCGCTTGGGCCAGATTTATACATTAACTTAGGCCGAACTAATTCACCTTGGCCGAAATAAATAAACTCAAATGGGCCAAGAAAATAACTCCATAAGGCCGAGATTAAAAGCTCAAAGGGGCCGAAAATTAAATCTCAAGATCTATATCTATATATATATAAAGAGGTTGTTGGAAAAATACATTAATAGAAAGTTTGACCAAATAAATATAACGTTTGACTTACTATTAATGGAAAGTTCAAAAAAATACATGTGAATCTTTAGTAACAAAATCTGAATCATATTTTTTTGGTAACTAATTTGGAGATTCTTATGGCAAAATTTGAATCCCATTTTTTTCGTATCATATTTTATTTTTTTACCAAAATTTAAATCATATATTTTTTGGTAACAAATTTGGAGATTCTTATGCAAAAAATGTGTCAATTATTTATGAAAACAATTCTAAATACAAATTAGCTTAAAAACCGTATAAATTGGATATAAATTTTGAAAACAAATAGTTGTATAATTTTTAACTAATTCTTTAAATCTTATTGAATAATTTTTTCTTTAAAAAAAAAAGTGTGTAAATTGGATAAAACCACGTTCAATTTTTAGTTTAGAATAAAACTGATATTTAGACGGGATGTATATTCAAAATTGTGTCCACATTTTTTGGTAACAAAAGCGGTTCATCTTTGATATTTAAAAATTAAAAAATCTTAAAATATCCTTAAATATTTAACTTATTTGAGATCAAGATTTATTAGGTCTTTTTAAGATTCGTTATGATTTTAAAAAAAAAACATTATACAAAATTTCACTCTAAATCTCACATTCACACTTAAGATTTCATAGTATTCCTCTAGAATTTGACCATCTTAAAAGTCTCAAATCTTAAAAAATCTCAATGTGGCACTCAAAATCCTAAACGAACACATATTATTTACCTATATCGTCAATTTACAATTATTATTTAATATTATTTACCCGTGCATCGCACAGGCCACATACTAGTTCGAATAAAATGCCTAAAAAAAAAGTCAAAACGGATAAAAAAGAGGGTTCAAAATTACGACACGATTGCACCAACGATGGGTCGAAACGGCTCAAACATAATTCTACGCGAAAGAATCAAAAATATCCCCCGCAGCCGCCGTCTGCGGCCGCGCCACCATCCTCCACCACCAACTACCATCTCTCTCCCCTCATGGCCATTTTCGACCTCCTCATCAAAACCCGCCCCGCCGCCCACAACCCCCGCCGCCTACTCTTCCCCGCTGCCGCCGCCCACTTCTCCACCTCCTTCCTCGTCACCAAAACCCCGAAAAAATTCCACAAAAAACGCAAAAAACACGAGAGCCCCCGGACCCAGACCGTCCAGACCCAGCCCAACCTCATCCCTTACCTCGAATCCCTCCTCCGCCGCGACTCCCATTTCCGATTCCTCACCAAAACCAAGGATTACCTCTCCAAACAGTCCCACCAAATCCTCTGCCTCGACGACGCCGGCAAGCTCCACCAGCAGCTCGGCTTCCCCCGCGACCGCAAAGTCCTCAAAGCCATCTTCCGCCACCCCCTCATCTTCCAGACCTACCGCCACACCGACAACAAGATGTGGCTAGGGTTTACAGACCTCATGGACCGGCTGCTAATAGAGGAACGGCAAATCGCCGACGAAATGGAGCCCCAAAGGGTCGCCGTCGTCCGTAAACTACTGATGATGTCCGCTAACAAGAGAATCCCCCTTAGCAAAATCTACCACAACCGTGCCCTGTTCGGAATTCCAGAGGATTTCAGGGACCGGGTTGCAAATTATCCAGATTTCTTCCGAATCATCGTCGAGGAAGATGGCAAGCGCATTCTTGAATTAGTCGATTGGGACAGCTCGTTGGCCGTGAGTTCTTTAGAGAAGGAGTTCATGGCCGACGAGGATAAGGCGAAACGAGCTTTTCGGTCTCCCTTAAAACACGTGAAGTCATTGGAGCTCGATTTAGATGACGAGCGAAAGTTGAACGTGCTAAACTCATTGCCTTTGGTCTCGCCTTACTCGGACGGGAAAAAGCTCGATTCTTGGACTTTGAAAGCTGAGAAATATCGATGTGGGGTCGTGCACGAGTTCTTGAGCTTGACATTGGAAAAAAGGGCTTACATTCACAACATTGTGGAGTTTAAGGATGAGTTGAGCCTCACGAGACGTACGTACGAAATGCTCTTGAAGCAACCGAGCACGTTTTACTTAGGTGGGACGAAGATGAATTGGTGTGTTTTCTTGAAAGATTGTTATAATGAGGATGGTGAGCTCGTCGGCAAGGATCCACAAGTGGAGTTTAACGAGAGGCTTTATGAGTACGCGGGAATGGAAGAATTGGAGTCGGACGATTGAGAAATGAGATGGGATTTTTTCGGGATTTGATGACTTTTGAATGAAAAACTAAACTTTTTTTGTTTTTTGCTTGGATATGTTGGTAGAAATTTGATGGCTTTTGAATGAAAAACTTTTTTTATTATTATTTTTTTTATATATTTTTGTGAGAAATTATTATGTTATCCGTCATATGAGTCATATGAGTAGTGATTTACAGATTGAGTTAACGAAAATATACATTAAATGATTTACACAATTGTGAGATAGATGATATTTTTGGAAGCGAAAAACTTTTTTTTTGCCTGTTATCATTTTAAAATGTTTCATTTTTCGTGAAGCGAAAAAAAGTTCAGTTTTCTTGTTCACATCGAAATATTATTGAGTTTAACAATAATTGTTGTTTGTTTTTTATTTTCTTTCTCTTTCTTTTTCCAATGTCAGGAATTGCTTTTTCTGAGAAGCAGTGAGCCCCCGAGCAAATTCTGGGTTCTGCATGAGCACACCTCCTAAGATAAATTGGCTTTATTTAACAAGGATTTGACAGCTTAGGGCGGCAATGACGTAGGCAAGCTTTTTAGGTAATGATGAGCATGGGCATTCCTCTATCTGTGTGACAAGCGTCACTTCTGTCGGGTTGAAGTCGGTGTTATTCACGACGTCGGCATTTCGATAGAATTTTAGCCCTCCATGACATCCGACAAGCTACTATCTAACCGAGGTGGCAATCTTGAGGTTTTAACGTTTTATCCTGACGACCTTTGGGATTTTTTGTCTTCGAACGTCATATGAGAACCGAGGTAATATTTTCGAGGTGCCAGCTATTTCGTTTTGTATTGTCAAAGACCCAGTTCGTGGTTTGGACTTTATGAAATCTTTAATCTATCCTTTATCTCAAGATATTTAATCTTGATATCAACAATATTCATAACACATAAAGTTTTCCTAGTTGGTAACATAAGTAAGGTAATTCATAATTTATCAAACTTTATAAATAAAACTCATAAAATATTATATTTAAAGTAATGTAAATATATATATTAATTGGACCATATGTTACTATATATCAAGATAAAATAAAATAAATAAAAATAATATTAAATAAGATTTATCTTTACTTATTGTGATGATATATAAGGAACGAAACTCAATTTATATTTCAACTTGACAACATTTTATCGACTGGGAATATCAAATAATTAATGGAAAAGAATTTTAATTAAAGATACAATAAAGTACATATATAAGTTTTCAAACAAATGAATTCTCACTTTCTATACTTCGTATAAAATTTTGGCATTATTTGTTTCTCACCTATGGTACAAAATGATTCAATATATTCTTAAAAAAAACATAAGCAGTGCAAATAACAACTTTATATGAATACCCTACTTCAATATTATTTTCCATTATTAACAATTATCCAATTTCATAAGTCTTTCAATCAAAATATCTTATGTTCCAAAATAACAATTATAACATTATTTCAAAGAAAAAAAAATGGCATATTACGGGTCAAGGCTCTAGATGATGGTGTCTCTTTTAAAAAGTCAATTTGTAGACTGAAGTCTGAAGCAAGTTTTGTTTCTTATAGAATTTAATATAAAGTTGAATTTGTGATGATGGGAGAAACGGAAGTTAAAGTAAGCAACGATAGTAATGAGCGTGAAAGTGTTAGGTTCAATGTAGAGTAAGCGAATAACGATATTGTGTCATATGGTAGTTGATTGAGTACTGATTCATGAGCCTCCGAGAACCCACAACTCATCTCGAGCCACCATCCAACACATCCTTCACCCTCGTGACCATCCACTGTCTAGAGATCTTAGTCACTGTTGCGAACACTTCATCGCATTAATTCTTTTTCTCTTCTTGCCGGCTGGTTCCCCTTTTCTATTCCTAGTAAGTGCCATCATGAAAACCTCCGCAAAGCATTATCTTCATCTCCAAATCAATATTCTTTGGATGAATTGCAAAATTAATAATATTGATATCCATTTGTTCGAGTCACCAACATTATGAAGCTCTTTTTGAAATACAAGATGAAACACAAAGCTGAAACATAGGATCTCATCCGAGGATGAGTAGTGTAAGAATATCCCTCCTTAAATATATATATGCATATATTGGGGTTCGAAGTGGTTTATGTAGCATGACTATTAAGATCCCTTCTGAAGATGTGGGTTTACGTACCGGATTGTGTGAGATAAAATTTTGATAAGAAAGATAAAAGCTTAAAAGAGGACCTGAAAATAAGTTTCCAGTTTCTTTTTTCAGAGCAACGTATTCTTTCTTAAGTTTTTGGAAAGTTTTCTTGCACCTGTAGAAAGGGGAATAAGAAAAGAAATAGAATATAATTAAGAAAAAAAATGAATCTTGATATAGATTGATAATTATGATTAAACATTATAGCATAATGATTAAATATAGAAAGATTAAGATAAATTCATTAACCTTCACCATCTCCAGCTCTGCAATGTTCTCGGAACTGTTTTACTCAATTTACCTTTGTGGATCCAATGCTGCAATATTTAAGTAGCATTTAGAAAATAATAATATTTTAATCAAGGCCTAAAAGAATTTTAATCTAAGTTCTCTTCACATTGTAAATGATTCTCCATTTTCTTCTTCCTATTTTATTTTAATTAATATCTTGAGCTGCTACATTGAACTCGTACAAAGTCAATATTATTATTTTTCCTTAAAAGAACACACATTCTTTAATTTGCTATAGATGTAACAAATAAAGAATGTATGTATAGATTGAAGATAGTAGGAGAGGAAATTGCTAGTAATCATATAAATGAAGTGGTTGTGGTGAACAAAGATGAACTTATTCGACAAAATTGGAATTCACATTGTCTTGAAGCCCTCCTAGCTGATGAAATTGTTCAGCCTCATGCGTGTGATCTTCTCTCTTTACCCTTCCCGCAACTCGACGGAAATATCTCTGCACAAGATTTGATCACAAAAGTGCAACTGATTAAGTCCTGTGTAAAGTAACTAATTCTAAATCTTTTGTTGCAGAAAACAAATGGATAGATCTTTTTCTCCCTTTATTTCCTTCCTATTTCTTATCTATGGAATTCATATAGCTCAATAGGCTTCAATTTGCACATTTATATATATTTTATGTGCATGGCCATATAAGTAGTTGTTCTATCTGTTCACATTTTCATATGGAGTTTCAACTCATTTATCCATTTGCAGGCTATTGGGCAACCTTAAAATATATATAAAAAAAAATGTTTACATATGGTGGATTTTACAATTTCTTCTAGTTCCTAGCTATATTAATGCATATATTATTTTACAGTAGTCTTGTAGATATTGTGTTTTTTAGCCCTTTAAACAAAATAATTGCAACTATACCCCATCAAAAAGTGATTGCTTCATGTTATCTAGTTGTCTTCTTTTATCTGGAGAACTAATACTAATACTCGGGGAGAAAATACGGTGATGTTTTGGCAAATGCTTTGGTTTTAGATATGATGAGGACTGCTTGGAAAAAAAATTGTGAAAAGTAAAACAAAACATTCCATTAAGTAAATTCACGTTTTATGTCCGAACATGCACGCTCGCCCATTAGGCAACGTTTGTTGCACAAATTAAATGTCCTTTGACTAAATTCCAAGGTGGTGTGGCGTGGTTGTGGCTTAAACCATGACTAAAACTCTAAATGTCAAAAAAGAAAAAGAAAAAAGAAAAATCCAAGCATCTATAGCTGTGTGGAATAGCTAAAAAGTAACAAAAGCCAACAAACAATAAAAAAAAAGAAAGATAGAAAATAGAAGCAAATGCATTGTGAAGAAGATGTATGCGTAGTCTGTGGGAAGTTTACCTTGGAATAGCCATTGGGCATATCACCATACAACCCGACGGTAGCCTCCGACAAGTTCGAAATGTGCCCCCCCTGAATTTTCCCGTAGGGCATCGACGAACACATCAACCACGACCCACACACCCTTCGCATGATGCTTACAGAACCGGAGAAATCGACATCGCAAATTGGCACCAATGGCGATAGGACTTGGAGTGCAGCATTCAACAAAGAAAAATCACAAAAATTTGGATTCAATATTGCAATTTTATTACTATCTAGTAAGGGAAAATATTAAATAAAATTGGTACAATGACTTAATACAATTGATAATATGTGTGTGTGTAAAATTACCAGGTGAAGTGCTCTATTTCTTGATCCACCCACCCTACCACAATAGATGACATATGTAGTCTAGGCTCCCATTTATTTTGTACCCAAAAACAACACAAACCGAACCATGACCGTCTCCCTCAATACCTTGCTCACGAACCCTTTGGGCCTCATCCCAACACACAGGCTGAAATTTCTCAAATACTCGGCCAGGTGAAGCACCTCCCTCCACTATCTGAGGCCCATAAAGACCCGATGGGCCTTGCCATCCTCAACAGCTCGTCCATTGCCTCTAATTCCAGCTCCAGCTATGCGAGGCCCACGCACACCCCAATGAACTCTCCCGACATCGTGGGCTAGGCTGGGCCAATGGGCCGAAGGTCTAGGCCCCGGAAGGAGAAGACAGGGCGCCCGAGTATTTGACATCAGATGACAATTTATTACTATTAATTGTTTCTATTTTTTTATTTTTTTAATAGGTCTTGACTATTTAATATATAATTTTTATTATTTAAACGTTGATCAACTATCGAGCAATGTGCATACTATGAATTTTTAAAAAGCTGATAAGACTAAGATAATCGACAATTCTATGAATACATGTACGTAACTTGTATGAAAATATCATTGATCTTATACAACGAAATTTATAATAAAATAATAATCAAGTATTATATGGTGAACACGAATAGTGAAACTGTTATTTTCTCTTATATGAAGGAATATATATATATATATATATATATATATAAAATCAAATTTATATTAGTATAAATGCGTTAGTGAGATAATATATTAATTATTTTACAAATTAGCCCTAACATGTTTATATTTAGTGTTTTGACTAAAAAAGGTTAATCAAAAGAGATAGAAAATAGATTATAACCCTATTGTTTTGTTAAGTTTGTAGACTTAACGCTGATTAAAAGAGGTGAAAAATAGATGATAACTGTATTGCTTTTTAGACTTAAACGGACAAAGTTTGTGAGAATAACTCATTTAATATCTATTTTTCGTGCATCGCACAGGATACGTACTAATTTAATTACATTGTTTATTTATTAGACATACAATTAAAAGTTTTATCTACTATCAAATAGTTAGATCATACTAATAATAATAATAATAATAATAATAAAGTTAGATAATTTATTTATTTATATTTTTTATCCTTTTGGCATCAAAATCTGTAGACTGTAGACATAAACTCTACATCACTACTTGGTACCTAACCCTACCATGGTGCGTGGACTGTGAACCTTGTGGCTAGTACCGTCGAAATGACCTATACAAAACGCTTGCACTGTCTTCCACACACACACACACACACATTACATTATTTTTATTATTGTTTATATATTATTTTATTATATAATAAAAACGTTGACACAGAAGTAGATGTGTGCGGGGAGAGAGAGGGGATAGCCATAGAATCTATTAGGCTATTAGCTACCGCACCGATGTATCATATAAACATGGCAATACACGACTCTTGCCCCTGATCCTGATTCTACCATCGATTGTTTTATCTTCTCGTCGGCTTTTCACACCTTGGTCCGCCGTCAATAACTTCTCATTTTGTTTTTTACATTCTAACTTCCATTCTTCACGCTCTTTGGGTTTTCTTCCCTTATGGATTTACCTTTTCAGGTTCCTTCGTAGATCTGCTTTTGATCGGCTCATCGAATTGGGTTCTTCAGCTGGATGTTTTCCGTGGGTTTTCTCCGATCTTCCTGTTTTTGCTGTTTGTGAGGTATGATCTGAGGCTACTTTTCGTTTCTGCTTCTGTTATCAAACTGTTTAAACTTCTCTGATTACAGGTTAAAAAACACTCGATTAGATGCCTGCCACTGGATATTTTTATTTATTTATTCCTTTCTTGGATGGCTTATTTTCCATCTCCAGTAAAATCACTGCATTAGGAATTTAGGATCTCATTTTTACCTTTGCATGACCGATCTTGTGCAGAACTTTTGATGAATGTTGGAGTTTGTAGTTGGTTTATTTTATTTTGTTACTTTGCTTTATATGCATCTACCAATGTGCTGCATTAAATTCTGCCGCCTTGCTTGGGAATTCCTATTTGGAAGCCATACATATGAGGAATTTATATTTGCATTTAACTGTGTGAAAGTTCTGCTAAAAAGAGTTTCTTTAACGTGGTTGTTTTGATTATAATTTGTAACTTTTTCTCGAAAAAACTGAAAAGTTTGGCTTTTGTAGTTGCTTCTTTAACGTTTAGCCTTCCAATGGCGGCTTTTACTTTTACAGTTGATTCTAAGCAAACGTAGGAAGTGAGTGGGAAGTGTTTTGCATGGGTGACGATGCCAGAATTGCGTAGCGGAGCACGGAGATCAAAGCGGCTTGTTGATCTCCAGCCTGCCCCTCAGCCTGTTAATCAAGAAGAGAACTTTGTTACACCTGCTCAGAATAGAACCAGAAGGAGGGGAAGAGGGGGAGGCAATGCAGCTGCTGTAGGAAAGGGACCTTCAGCTGCTACACCCGCTAGACCTACTGCTGCTGGTAGAGGCAGGGGACTTAGGTTGATAGATTTGGATCCAGAGCCACCTTGTGAGGCTCTTCCTCAAGCTGTTGGTGTTGGGGCTGGAGAACCGGCTTTCAATAGAGTGGAGGGTGTTGCGGATAAGGAAATCCCAATGGACGGTGGAAGCGCAGATAAAGTAATGGGTGTTGAAGAGGAAGCGGGTACAACTCCAGTGCCTGAAAGGGTAATTTTTTTAGGGCATGGATGTGTACGAGATATTTTCGCTTTCATTTTCTCTCACCTTTCACATTTCCTTCTTCTATTTGATTTTTCAAGAGCATCTATTTTACTATCATTTTCGCACATCTGATATAGCAAGTCATGTGGAATCATTATTTTACCATTTCTACATTAAATCAAATTCCATTTTCTTATCAAATTGAATCCATTATCAGATTCACGGTTCACCTTTTCTCTTTCAAATCTCTATCTCCCCTCCTCCTCTATTTACCTTGAAATGTTTCAATACGAAAAATATCCTCGCCCCCATATTTTATTATCAAATCCTGCGAAATATTATAGGTGTAATAGAATATATTTTGCAATTTCATGTTTAACAACTTTATATTATTAGTACAGAAAGTGTGTTTACCTTTAGCACCTTTTTAGTTCAATTCTCAGATTTACAAATCTTATAAGGTATTTATAACCTTTTCAGCTTGTATGGAGCCATGAATTTTGTTCCTTATTTACTGGTTGTTTTTTGGGAAGTACCTACTAACCCTCTCCTGTTTGTTTGTACAGGTACAAGTGGGAAATTCGCCGATGTATAAGACGGAAAGGAAATTAGGTAAGGGTGGATTTGGCCAAGTTTATGTTGGTCGAAGAGTAAGTGGTGGGACGGATAGAACTGGACCAGATGCTATCGAGGTACCTTTTTTCCACGTGTGATTTACTGATAGGAATTTTGGGAAATCCAATTGTACCTTGTTGGTCTGAATAAAATACATATATCTTGTCGTCATGTAGGTTTGTCTTGAAGTTTGAACTAATCTTACCTTGTCGGTCTGAATTTATCATATATCTTGTCATCATGTAGGTTGCCTTGAAGTTTGAACACCGAAATAGTAAGGGTTGCAATTATGGCCCCCCATATGAGTGGCAGGTTTACAAGTACGTTATCTGTTCTTGAGTTACGGGTTTCAGATGCTCATTTCTTATCTTTCATTATGCCCACCCCATAAATATTCATGCATTTGTATTTTTTTTTTTGTCTTTTTTTTTATACAAAAGCACTCTGAATGGATGCTATGGGATTCCATGGGTTCACTACAAGGGCCGTCAGGGAGATTTTTACATTCTGGTTAGTGTGATATTTCGATTTTTTTGTTAACAGTCTAAAATAAGTTAGAAATTCTAATGATTGTTTTTTCAGGTCATGGATATGCTTGGTCCTAGTCTTTGGGATGTCTGGAATTCATTAGGACAATCGTAAGACCCTCTCTTTCTTCTCCATCGTGTCTACCCATTGTTATTAGTAACAGGATGCACTTTTTTGAAAATAGAATCTTGAGTCATCGTTGTTATCTTCTTTTTTGTGCAACAAGTTCCCTTGTTTGATTATGGCACCTGAAACAGGATGTCTCCAAATATGGTTGCTTGCATTGCTGTGGAGGCTATCTCAATTCTTGAAAAGCTCCATATGAAGGGGTAATACTTGATATTTTTCCTGTCGCGCCTTATATTAGGTTTAAAATGCATTTAATTTCATGACACTTTCTTATTTTTCACTTTCAATTGCTTTGTTCACTTGAAGATATTGATTACTGCTGGCTGTTGATGTTACTCATCTAGGTTTGTGCATGGAGATGTGAAGCCAGAAAACTTTTTACTCGGTCAGCCTGGAACAGCTGATGAGAAAAAGCTATACCTTATTGATTTGGGTTTGGGTATGATGCTTGCATCCTGTTATCTTTTTCTGTATCTTGACTATTTAAAATTGATAAGATCATAGCTAAACCATACGACAGAGGATGCAACTAAATTTTCACTGTCGTAGTACTTATAGGTTATAGCTGCCTTCTATTAAGTTTTTATTTTTTTTGCACAATCACTTCTTTCTGTTCATAGTCCGCTATGGTTTTATGTACATGTGGGATGCAGCTTCAAGGTGGAAAGATTCTTCATCTGGTCAGCATGTCGAGTATGACCAGAGGCCAGATATATTTAGGTTAGTGAAGGTTTTGAAGTGTTTTTGCATGATCCTGGTGTAGTTTTGAATAATAAATTCAGTTGGTCTTTGACAGAGGCACAATAAGGTATGCAAGTGTGCACGCACACTTGGGTCGTACAGGAAGTAGAAGGGATGATCTTGAATCACTGGCATACACCTTGATATTTCTAATAAAAGGAAGGTTGCCTTGGCAAGGCTATCAGGTGATTGGCATCATTGCTTAAGTAACTTCTACGAGCGAATCTTGTTGATTTTGAGTCTTTGACTTTATTGTTCTAATTGTTTCTGGCACTGGCAGGGAGATAACAAGAGCTTTCTAGTATGTAAAAAGAAAATGAGCACTTCTCCAGAGTTAATGTGTTGCTTTTGCCCTGCCCCGTTCAAACAGTTCCTCGAGACTGTTACTAATATGAAGTTTGATGAGGAACCAAATTATTCTAAGCTGATATCTTTCTTTGATAGTCTCATTGAACCATGCACGTCACTGAGGCCTATAAGAATTGATGGTGCTCTGAAGGTAACACAAAAATTTCGTCTGCACAATTGAATTAGGTGTGTCAAATACAGCCATTTGGCACTTATTTACCTCTGGAACCTTAGGAGTGGTGTTCTCCTAGAATGATGTGGCACTTAAGGCGAGCAGAGCTGTGCAGCAATACATGATAGTGTTTATCGCATGAACGCCTCTCTGTTTGTGTATACTTTCATTTTAAACTTTCCGTTCTATTCACAGGTTGGGCAAAAGCGTGGAAGGTTGCTCATTAACTTGGAAGAAGATGAGCAACCAAAGAAGAAAGTTCGACTCGGTAGCCCTGCTACTCAATGGATTTCGGTCTATAATGCACGCCGTCCAATGAAACAAAGGTGACTGCCTATTTGACTTATTTCGTGCAACTAGAAATTAGGTATGACATTCAAGACAACATGCATGGCTTCATACTTGTCTGGTCAGAGAGAAAATCAACAAAATAAACTATCTCTCTTTCTTTGGCTTAATTCTTCATCAGATGCATGTATAATAATCCTTTTATCGCAAAAAGTGAATTGCAACTGGTTGGAGGTTTGTCATCTCTACATGGTCCTTCCAATTTTCTTATGCAAATTTCTTGAGAACTTTTGTATTTGCAAATTTGTTGTTGTTGTTGTTTTAGTTTTCACTCAATTCATAGACTTTCAATCTAAGAAAGTTGACAACCTCTGCCAACTGAGGTAGGGCTTGTTTTAGCTGTCTTTAGTTTTCACTCAATTCATAGAATTTCAATCTAAGAAAGTTGACAACCTCTGCCAACTGAGGTAGGGCTTGTTTTAGCTGTCTTTTTGTGAGTGTCATCTTGTTACATTTATTTGGTCGCAAAATATTGATATTACTTATTTCGATGATGTCTTAAGCCCTGTTGTATGCATTGTTCTAGTTATTATAACCTTGAGGTCTTCTCTGTAGATACCACTACAATGTGGCGGATTCAAGACTTCGTCAACATGTGGAGAAGGGGAACGAAGATGGCTTGTATATTAGCTGTGTGGCATCTGCTGCCAATCTTTGGGCCTTGATCATGGATGCCGGAACAGGTTTCAGTTCTCAGGTGTATGAGCTTTCAGCAGTGTTTCTTCATAAGGTTTGTTGGTGCTAGTAGTTTTTATTTTGTAATTTTCCTTTTTTTCTGACTCGACCTACTTGTTGATAATAATTTTCCTTCAAATGATATCATCAGGATTGGATCATGGAACAGTGGGAGAATAACTATTATATCAGTTCTATAGCTGGTGCAGCTAATGGAAGTTCATTAGTGGTTATGTCTAAAGGTTGGTTGAGCCTTGGGTTTTCTTTCGTCTTTAGATATCTTGAGTAAATAATAATAAATCTTCTGTAAATGTTGCTAAATACAGAGAGCTGAGGTTGTGTTTGCCATGTGCATGATAGACTCTAATTGT